AAAAAAAAAAAGACTTCTTCTTCTAGGCTACAAAATTATGATTTCATATTACCATCTGAGAACATGAAGTACAGATAGGAACACTTTTTTCAAAAGTCTAAAGTTTGACAATCCATTAGAGACAGGTGAATCTAGATGCTTAAAATATATACCTCTGTCATCCATTTTGCCAGGGCTTTCAGTGCCTCCAGGCCTTGATCTACTTTGTGACTCTGAAGGAGAATGAAGAACTCTCAAGCATGAACAAATCATTTCCTGATTGCTCATGTCTAGAGTAAGAAGAGAAATATATTTTGCATTAAAACTTTGAAACAGGATGATTTCTGCCTAAGAAAAACTAAAATGTCAGTCTACAGGAACATACCCAGGATTAAGAGGTATGTGTGTATATGTGTATATGTATATAGGAGTTTGCTTATTAACTCCTTTAAGTGCCTAAAGCAAGTAGACTAAGCTTGGTTTATATAAGAAGTGGAAAAGTTTTCAATATTGATAAAGTCACTTGTACTCCTAGTGACTACTGCCATAATTATTAGAAAATACAGAAAGAATTTTGTAAAAATCTACCAATAGATTGATCAGGCTGGGTCCTATTCACCCAGCCAATATGGTTCCAAATGTTCAACACACATATACAAACGTTAACCAGAATTGGTACCATCCCAAATTACTGAGACACTTTTAAAACTATCAATGCAAAGAACAAAAATTCTACGTTTTTGAAATTCTGAAAAAATATAAATATATTTCCTTAAAAAAATAATATACACATTCAGATCTACATATAAATATTAAAAAGTTCTTGCATTATTTTCAATTACAACATGACTCTACGGGAATGTTTCCCAAAGTGTATCCCACACACCATCTGCAAAAGAATTATTGAGGGTTAACATTGAAGACTGGTTAACATTCCAGATTCCAGTGACCCATGCAAGATATGCTGAATAAAAACCTCAGGTTGCAGCCTACACACTTGTATTTTTAATCGCAAATGATTCCATGTATATTAAAATTTTAGAAATAATCTTCTAGTGTATGATGTTGCCAGAAAAGCCTATGTGAAAATAAATTTGTCAGCGGGCAGTCATTAGTTAATATTCATAAAGAATTCAATCTATTAATGGTATTAATATAAAAAGAAATTTTTAAATAGTAAATATTTAAAATTTACCTTGCCGCTTATATTAATCAGTGCGAGAAGATTATATCCATAATACAAGAAATATAGAAAACAAATTGCACATGTAACTACATTATTTTAAATGTTTTTTTAATTTACAAAATTTTCTGAACTTAATTATGCACATTTTATCTAATTTCCTAAGGAAAAGGAGTCTTTTCTATTACAGAATCCTTTAAGATTGATAACATAATATGTAAATCATTAGACCCAAATAAAAAGTAATTAAGCCCCCAAATCCCTCTTCATTTAGGTAACACAAAGCAAAAATCATTGCATACTGAAAAAAAGAAAATAACTCTCCGTGAATGCTGAATTACAGTTTTCACATCCTTCCGAGTTAACGCAGCCCTAAAACAATCAATAGAGAATGCTTTCCCATCAATCTCATGTTCATGCCAAGTCATCTGTAATAAAATGCTATATTCCTAGAATCCTTTCTTTATAAGTAGGACTGATAGTATACCCAGGTACAAAGATCTGGAGGAATGAAAGCAGATGTTACCTGTGTCTGTGCCATGCAGTGATGCAGGTGGAAGAAGCCGACCCAAAAACAAGGTGGGAGAAGTTGGCCTTTCCAATCCTGGATCCCTTGGGTGCGTGAGGGGCTGCAAAACGGAAGGCAGAAATGAATTGTCTCTGAGTGGTACTACAACTCAAAATTTTCTGCCCCTCCTCTTGACCAAAGTGGTAAAAGGAAATTGTGTGATAAAAGCTGAGGTTGACGGGAAAGGAAAAATGGTCATGAGCTATATCTTCCTCCATTTCAACTAAACGACCACTTAGTACTCTTCACAAAATAACATTCAAAATCTCTATTTGAAGACTGAGAAGATAAAGGAACACAGTTTTGTAGAAAACAAAAACTAATATTTTTAACAAGAACCAGCATACTTAAAAGAAACTACTAGTAAAAACAAATGATTAAAATGTATATGTATAAATATTTATATATATACATAAGAAATATAATTACTACTCTTTATGTCTTAAATAACCTGTTAAAGACTTTCTCTTATCTGTTGCTATTTGAAAAAAAGATTATTTCTTTTTTCCATTTATGTTTATTACAGATAATTGTATTTCAGAAATTATTTTAAAACATCCATAATTCTACTATAAAAATTTTGGTTTTTATTCTTCTAGGTTTTTATCTGTACATTAGATTTACTATCAAAGTTGGTGTCACCCCATACACAATGTTTTTGTTCTATTATTTTCAAATAAATAACAATTGATTCACTTAAAAAATATTTACCTATTGTTGTTATTTTCTACTACTTAATGAAGGAAATCATACGGTATTTGACCATCTCCCTCTAACTTATTTCACTTTGCATTATACCCTCAATGTCCATCCATGTTGTCACAAATGGCTGGATTTCATCATTTCTTATGGCTGAGTAGTATTCCATTGTGT